TATGTGTATATATACATATGTGTATATATACATATATATATATGTATGTATACATATGTGTATATATACATATGTGTATATATACATATATATATATGTATATACATATATATATATATGTATGTGTGTGTGTCATAACAATATTGATCATTGACAGTTGTTTGTGGAAATAAAAAAGAAAGACATTGTTCAATCCTAAATTCAAAGCACAATGTTTCATCCCTTGTAATCCAGTCATGGATGTGATTCAGATTAGGGTCACCTATATTTCTGGGAGTGCAGGCTGCTGTCCTGTTCAAGGCCATGAGACGGAGTAAACGCCATTAAGAGAGGAGCTGAAAAAGCAATTTCGTCTCACTTCCTTTGCTTTCTCTGTGCTCCGTCTGTCACTCCTTGTTGATGAATGATGGTGTTGCGCACACACACACACACACACACACATGCACACACTCAAACATACTTGTTCTCATGCAATTCTCTCTCAGTCAGAAGCTGATTTACAGGCCAAAGTAGGGAACATTTGCCAGACAGGTACTAAATGCTAAATGTACTGATACTAACATCATCTTGTCTTTCTCTCTTCTCCTCCCATCCCTGCACCACTTCTTCTTCTATATCCTCCTCTCTTTGTTCTTTTCCCCATCCCTCTTCTCTCCTAAATACCCTCCCCCACCTTCTTCCTACATCCAACCTATGTCTCTACGAATACCCAGGCTTTCTCAGTACAGGTGATCAGTCCGCTAAGGGGAACTACGGCCTGCTGGACCAGATTCAGGCCCTGCGTTGGCTCAACGAGAACATCGGCCACTTCGGCGGAGACCCCGACAGAATCACCATCTTTGGCTCCGGAGCTGGGGCGTCCTGCGTCAACCTCCTCATCCTCTCGCACCACTCGGAGGGTAATTTAAGACCGTTGCATTTTATACAGAAAACCCCCCGAGCACAATGTTTCCACTGGTCATGGGATTCCTTGATTATCGTGACTTTGTTGTTGTCGTGTTTCTTGTGATAATAGCCTGGATCCAGCCCTGTGAATGACTCATTAACCACACGTTTCTTGACAAATGGGTTGTGGCTGCTTACATGATTTCCTCCTGGTCCGTTAATGTGTCAGTCCCCACTAATCCCTGAATAGCCACAGGGCATATTTACAATCTATCTCTGTGTATTTGTTCTATGTATTTGCTGGAAACGGATGGCGATGCACACCTGCATGTCCGAGTCAACCTTTAAAACTCTCAACAAAAACAAAAATGATGTTCCTGTATTTGTTGCTGGAATTACTTGTGTTATGCTCAGCACAGTATATTTAGTATACTATATTTTTACCTATATTTGTCCTTTGGCTATTTTATAATGCAACCATAGCAGTGAGGCTCTTCTATACCCATGTGGTCAGATGGATACTCAGCTAGCAGCATTTAGCCCAGAAATCGTTAAGTCCTGTGATGTCCGCTTGACACCTCTATCCTCAAAGGAAAACACTGCTTTTCCTCTGAACTGAAGAATGTATGCAGCCATGTGGCTAATGAGCGAGTCCGGGTTTGATCCAGGTTATGTCGTTCACATCTCTGGAAGATAAATAACACTGGAGCTCTAACATTTCCCCGCATTACCTGACTTGGCGAGCGCTCCGTGCTCTGTTAACGGTCCACTGCTCTGCAGCACAGAGGCTCTACCTCCGTCGAGAAGCCTACATCCGTCTGACCTCATGCTCCCCATTACCGACAACACACCCCGAGGGCTAAGTGTTAACATTGAACCGCCAAGAGTGAGCGGCCCACTGACCAATCGACTTTGATCTGAATTGAGATCAGTGTGGCTGACGACCCGCAGCCAAATGGTCGCGCACTCGCCGCCTTTGATCATGCTGTTCTTGAAGCTGTCCTCCTCCAATCGTAACTTCTCTGTTCTGTTCGCTGTTCGAGGACTCTCCCTCAATATCGCTCTCCTGCATTCATTTTCCGTCTCACACACAAACCGCACAGGGCAGAAGCAGGGAAGAAATGGTGGGTGAGGAGAAAGCGAGAGATTAGAGAGAGCGTGTTCACACAACCACGCATCTGTTTCAATAAGCATTCTGTGTGTGTATGTGTGTGTGTGTGTGTGTGTGTCTAACAGCTCTCTTACTTTGACTCATTCTGTGGCTTGAGAACAAATATGTGTGTCATCAATGATTGAGTGAACATCTGTACACTGCTGCATGTCGCTGTGGCCATCTAACACAACCTCTATAATTACCACTGACGTCTGCTAACCCGTCATCGTAACCCAGGCACACTCAACCTTTGTCCCTTAGCAGTAGAAACCTCCTAAGACCTCAATTGTTATATTTATATCATGATGATAGTGTTTGTGATTAATACAAAGCAGGCTTCTCGTTTGAAAAGTTTTATATTACTTAAATTCGCTATGTTTACTGTGCATAGGATCGAAACTTGAAAGTTGAAACCATGTGTACAGTAGAGTAACCACTCAATATCCTGTACGGAGGGAAAACGTTGCTTAAAAGCATACTTTGATTTGTTTGGGAATAGAGGACTGACACCACCCTCTTGTCTGCTCGTTAATGGTGCCAAGTTTGGATAATTTCTATTGTCGCCACATGGCTCGCATCGCTTCCACGACAAAGCTGTGGGTGTTATCAGCATTAACTGTCGTATGAACACAGTGTATAGCGGCAGCCGGTGGAACACACAAACTGGGACTCACATGCACTTTAACATGCATGAGCGGCCAGTCCGACGAAGTCAACTAGCACAGAGAAGCTCAGATTACAACGCACTCCATTCTCTGCTCTGGTAGACACTTCTCCACTATATCTTTACATAGCAAATAGTTGTTTACTGCTATATTAATGCTCTGAATTTCGAATATAGTACCTTTTTAAGTATGGAGACAGAGGATGGGCAGCTTAACTTAACAGGAAGGCAGGAAGCTGAGGTCAAGAGCTCGTCAAAATAAACTTAAAACATTTCTTGCTAAGCTAATTACGTCCCAGCTCCAGGTCCTTAACGTTCAGACATGAGTGTGATGTAAATCTTCTCATCTGACTCTCTTAAAGTAAATGGAGAAGTGTCTTCTCTAAAATGTTACATTGAAGCAGTAATTATAGAGTTTTTGCACACAATCTCTCTCCAATTCTCTGTCCAAAAGCCAGATAGCAACCAGAACTATTGATAGTCATTGTTCATCTTTCAGGGAAGCCCCCACTTTAGCAGCAGAGGGACCCTAACGGTTGGGAAAGCCTGTATTAACCCCTTGTCTCCTGTTGCTGACAACCAACCCCCTCACACTGCCACCAGTCCATTCTCATGCCTCCGCTTTGTCATCACCCCATCGTCATCATCATCGTCCTCGTCTTCGTCAGCATCTAACATCAGCCCTAAAGATGCCGCCTGTCTGTCATGCTCCCCCCTTCTCCCCCCCGCCAGGGATGCCAGGTAAGGAGTCCGTCATCCCCACCCTTAAGGGACACCAATCATGTCAACAACACGGCGTCACAAATCAAGCCCCACAGCAGAGCCGTACGGGATGAATGGCGTGATGGAAGTGGTAGACAGGATGGAGAGACGGGCTGTTAGTGATACTGATATGATGAAGGGCGGGGAAATATAGAGGGGACAACAGTATCCATGGTACCCTGTGTTCAAGGGAGCAGGAGGAGAGGTAATAACATTGTTGAGGGAGGAAATAGAGGACAGAAAATACTCTGATGTGGCATATCAGAAAAAGGAAGTAGCCAAATATAGGAAAGTGCAGGGAAGGCAAGAGCCACTTAGGGAGTGACAAAGAAACGTATTTTGAAGACGAATGAAACGACTGCCTCCTAAGACTACCTCCTAGTCTGCCTCTCCCCCCTCCGACTTTCTCAGTGCAGATATATAGGTATAGCTGTTTCCAAGCTACTTTTTACTATAATTGATTTCCCAGGGAGAGGGTGTGCTGCGGCTCTGCTTAATAATTAACTGACCAATCTTCAGCCCAGGAGAGGGAAGAGAAAGAGAAAAAAAGTTGAGTGAGGCAGGCGGCCTCTTAACGAGCCACTTGAGTGGTTCAAACATCACAGGATGGGCAAAATAAGGAGAGAGAGAGAGAGAGAGACAAAGAGGGAGGGAGGAACGCAGCTTGAGAGGGAGTCTGACAGAAGAAACAGCCAGCACAAAAAAAAGAGGAAAACGTCTCTCTTGACGTCTCAGATGAGCTTATTCCCAGTCCTGCTTCTGTTTCTTTTTTTGTTTGAGCTGAGAGCACCATAGTATGCTCTAATTCTAAAAGTGAAAAAAGAGAAAGTGGATTCCACATCATGTAGTCTCTCTGAATCTCGCTCTATCTATCTCTATCAGAGCGCCATCTTGCCTGCAAAAATGCAAAAATTGGGGAAATGTAGACACTGGAGAGGTCACCCGACATTTTTGCATTTTTGTTCACATTTACCTCTGCATACAGTAATACCGCATCTTTTCCATCTGTCCTCTCAGGTCTGTTCCACAGGGCCATAGCCCAGAGTGGAACTGCCATCTCCAGCTGGTCTGTCAACTACCAGCCCCTCAAGTACACCAAGATCCTGGCCCGGAAGGTGGGCTGCACCTACACGGAGACGGCCGACCTGGTTGACTGCCTGAGGCGCAAGAACTTCCGGGAGCTGGTGGACCAGGACATCCAGCCAGCCCGGTACCACATCGCCTTTGGCCCCGTGGTGGACGGAGACGTGGTGCCTGACGATCCTGAGATCCTCATGCAGCAGGTGAGGGTCGGCCACCAGGATCAAAGGTGGCACTGCAGATATGTCCGAGACTGTTTTTTTTTTCCTTATTTTGCAAGTAGAGTGAGCTGAGCTGTGATGACACAGCAGACAGTGAGAACATGAAGAACTTGTTGGTGTGAGGGTGACCTTTCCACGGAGTCGGGGGTCTGGCGGTGACATTTAAAAGCTGGTGTGAACTCGCATCCTAAAATGCTGGAACACATTCCCTTGGTGGTATATTCTGGACCCACGGCTCACAACTTTTTTTGCTTGTGATCTCGTACATACAAACCCTTCGACACAGTTTGCATGTCTGAGTAGTGAGCAGTTCAGTCAAAGACTGATTCTCTCTTCTCAGCCGACGAGGTCACACCATATTTTATAAGAGCAAAGAAAAGATGATGAATAGTCCAAAGAATAAACATGATTATATGTGTGTAATTATCTATATATTAGCAACATTTAATTTTGTCTTACTTCCTATTTGTCCCTCCCTGTTCACAACCCAGTGCAGCCACAATGTCACATTTTACATGCACATGACTATCTCTGTCCTAATATTGATAATAATTATGATGGATCACAGCTAGCGTAGTTGATGAGAACATATGGCAGCATTACAGTAGTGAGCTTGTACTGGCGGTCCCACAACACAAGCTATACATCAGTACAAAGATGCAGATTTACATTAATGGCATAAATACCACATACAAAATGTAAATAAAGCTGATTGGACTTTTGGACTGAAAACCAACAAATTCCACACTCAACATGTGTTTCCCCTGTTGCGCCACCAGGGGGAGTTCCTCAACTATGACATCCTTATAGGAGTGAACCAAGGAGAGGGGCTGAAGTTTGTGGACGACAGCGAGGACAACGACGGCATCTCAGCAGCAGCGTTCGACTACACCATCTCCAACTTTGTTGACAACCTCTATGGCTACCCTGAGGGTGAGGATTGCCAACATTATACTCCTTTCAGGCTTTAATGTCCTCCATATTATGTCATCTGCCGCCTCTCAGATGACAGAACTTTGCAGTGTCATTGTTTTTCTACGTTTATTAGAACTGCCAGTGGAGGAAATCGTCCCGGGGTCCTGGGTCGACACACATTAAAATGAAATTAAAGGATACTTTGCCAAAATGAATAGTAAACATCATAAATCATTATCACAATACGATAATGACCTAAACATATGACATAAGATAAATATGTTCCCTGATACTTGAGCTCGATGTGCACACTACAGATTTGTTTTTTTGACATTGTCATGTTTTCTGGACTGAAAATACATCAACAGCAACTTATCACATACTACAGCTCCCAGTGGAAATGCAAGTCTTTGTAGAATCATGTGGGCAGAAAATAAAAACACTAATGTGTGAGCCCAGCCCAAGTGAATCAACCAAGACAGGCATACTAAAGAGATTGCCTATCATCGGGATTATCTTTCACCACGGTGGGTCTGTGCTTTGGCCTTTGAGGCTCCGTGGGCTCTAATGCTGTCTCTCATCAACCCCCAGGCAGCCAGCTCCCAATCACAGCACTGTTGTTCCTAACAGATCAGCCTGCAAACCCCTCGCAGCGGGCCACAGTCAAAATACAGACACATTTGGATAATGCAGTCACGCTTCCTCTCAAGTGCCTGTCACTCATTCTTCACTCTGACGGGGCATGTTTCTCTCTTTTGCCCTTTGTGTCGCTCAGTCTGTCCTTTCAGTGTCTCTCTCGGCTTTATCGGGTTATCTCTCACACGTACATACAAACATCTTTTTCTTCCTATTTCCGTCATTCCTGTTCATTTTAGCAGCGTTTGCTTCCATCTTCCACCCCCCTCTGTTTCACATCTCTTGACCACTCTTATCTCTCAAATGTGTTCAAGCTCTGTCTTTACTTTCATCTTAACTTATCACAATTTTTTATCTTTTCCCCCCTGTCACTTTTCTTATCCTCCAGGCAAAGACATCCTGAGGGAGACCATTAAATTCATGTACACAGACTGGGCAGACAGGGACAATGGCGACATGCGAAGGAAGACACTCCTAGCTCTGTTTACAGACCACCAGTGGGTGGCGCCGGCAGTGGCCACCGCCAAACTACATGCGGAGTTTCAGTCGCCGGTTTACTTTTACACGTTCTACCACCACTGCCAGACGGAGACGCGACCCGAATGGGCCGATGCCGCCCACGGAGATGAGATACCGTACGTGTTTGGCGTTCCCATGATCGGTGCTACAGATCTGTTCCCATGCAACTTCTCCAAGAACGATGTGATGCTGAGCGCTGTGGTCATGACTTACTGGACCAACTTCGCCAAGACTGGGTAAGCCTTTTTGATGATTTTATTTCATAACGATGTAATAAGTTTTTGATAAACTAGCAAGTGTAGTACCTCTTTAGTAGTAGAGTTGAAGCGTCTTTGTCTTTGGTGAAAGGGCTGATCTCATGAACCGGATGTTCGCAGAATTGTTCAAAGTTTAGTGTCTTGTCTCATGTGCTGCAAGTTCATAAATAAAAACTTAAAACACAAGGGTATATTCAATGTTTAGATGTCAACACGCATTGAAGAAATCTTTGAGCCAGATGATTAAAACCTTGACTGATATGTCCCCTCTGTCCTCCATTAGGGACCCCAACCTGCCAGTCCCTCAGGACACCAAGTTCATTCACACCAAACCCAACCGCTTTGAAGAGGTCATCTGGACCAAGTTCAACTCAAAGGACAAGCAGTACCTCCACATTGGATTAAAACCTCGTGTTAGAGACAACTACAGGGCCAACAAGGTGGCCTTCTGGCTGGAATTAGTCCCCCACCTCCATAGTCTACATGAGGAGCTCTTCCCCACCACGACCCGTTCGCCGGGAGGCCCTGGCCATGGCACCCCCCGACCGGGCCTTCGCCCATCTCGTCACCCTTACCCTACCTTCGCCTCTGATCCGGAGCTCGAGGGTTCGGAGCGTCCGCACCAGAACCTCTTCCCTGGAGACACCCGGGACTACTCCACCGAGCTGAGTGTGACAGTTGCCGTGGGGGCATCGCTCCTCTTTCTCAACATCCTGGCATTTGCCGCCCTTTACTACAAGCGTGACAAGCGCCACGAGATGCGACGCCACCGGCTGTCTCCTCAACGCGGCGGGCCTGCCAACGACCTGGCTCACAGCCAAGAGGAGGAGATCATGTCCCTGCAGATGAAGCACTCGGAGCACGACTCTCACCACGACATGGAGCCCCTCCGGCCCCATGACATCCTACGGCCCGCCTGCCCACCTGACTACACACTGGCGCTGCGCCGTGCCCCCGACGACGTGCCGCTGATGACACCTAACACCATCACCATGATCCCCAGTACCATCACCAGCATGCAGCCTCTTCATGCCTTCAACACTTTCCCCTCCACCGGCCACAACAACACCCTGCCCCATCCCCACTCCACCACCAGGGTATAGTAGGGACTAGCACGACACAGCGCCACCTATGGACCAGGAAGACTGGCTCTGCCACAGATCTAGAAGAGAGGCCCTCTGGATGTGGGCCTTTGTTCTGTTCTCCTATTCTCTTTCCCCACAAACAACTCCACCTCCATCGTGTGCTGTCAAACTCAGCAGCTCCACTGGTGGCGTGTGGCGAGCAACTGAACTGCACGGCAGCAGATGATCAGTTTGGGGGTGATTTAGATCGTTCAAAGATACTGTTTTCAAAGGTATGCCGTTTCCAGACTAAAGCCCCCTGACACTAGTCAAAAGGACAAATGCTTTTCGGCCCTTGCAGTTTTCATGCTCTTCTTCTTTACTCTCCCTGGCGTGTTGCGTGCATTTATCGTTCTCTTTTCTACATCTGTGTCTTATCCCTGCGTTGTTCCTCTCATTCATGTGATTCTCTCCCTCTCTCCCAGCGCTCTTTTGCTCCAGGGACTCACAAACGACTGAGCTGTAGGAGGGGGCATAGAGTGCCACCAGTAATCTTCTAGTTAGGAAAGCATTGATATCTGATACTTTCATTCTACCAGCATTCTTGGTGCCAAGTATGTACTACTGTGTCTGCTTTCTCATCGAGGGAGGAAAAAAAAACAAAAGAAAATTCGAGAGTATTCCTATTTACTGTCAATTAACAGATGCTGTGTGTTCTCATGACAAAGTGCCAAACTGGCCCTCGATTGTGTTTTTTTTTTCTTTCATCTTCTGTTTCTTTTTCTTTTCAAGCATTTGTTTAGTTGTTGTTTTTTGTGGAAAGAACTTTTGCTGAAAATATAGATATAGAGAAATGATATTATATATAGTTATATATAAATGTGTACAAAGGAGAAAGTATATAAAGGGGTTTTCTCAGTGGGGATCTATGCATGAATTATTTTTTAAGATGATGACGGGGGAAAGGACACCGTATCTGTCAATGCACGTTTCCCAAATCTAATCAGATCATATCGGCTCTCTGGATATCTTGGTTTTTTGTTATAGAACTCACAGAACAAGGAAAAATCCCCAAAAATCCTCTTCACCTCCCAACACCCATTTATTAAAAGAGTCATTTCCACAAATCTCAGAAGATGTTGATCAACTGTGAACATACTCTTCCATTCATTCTCTCCGGAGAATCAGAGGTTTCTCTCCAACCAAGTGATGCATCACGCCGACCGCAAGCCCATCATCCTGCAGTAGCTACTTTTCCTTCCAGTCGGTTTGGAGATGATTGCTTTTTAGGGTGCGTGAAGTACCAGATCTGTTGTTGTAGCTAGCCTGTGCAGAATTATTTTTGTATTTCAGTAAGGGTAAAAAACAAAGCAGAGACAGGCAGCCTTTGCTCTTTTACATACACGTTCTCCTGTCTGCACCCCTATTTCCAGCACATGCATATTCTGTGTGTGTGTGTGTGTGTGTGTGTGTGTGTGTGTGTGTGTGTGTGT